CTGGCGTATTGTGTACACGTATGTGTGCAGTGCATTCTTGTATCTTCTCTGTAGCATCATCATAATCGCTGTGGCCAGGACCCCATACCTTTTAAAGAACATTACTCCTACCAACTAGCCTGCATACTATATGATCTGTCATATTCTTGATTAATTTCTTTCTTTCTTTTTTTTTTTAATTTTTGTTATGGTGACATTGGCTAATGAAATCCATTAAGTTTCCGGTGTACAATTCAACAGTAAGGCATTATATATCACATTGCGTGTTCACTGCCCATAATTAGATTTCTTTCTGTCATCACATATTTGACCCCTTTTACCCCATCTACCTCGCCCCTGCTCCCTCCCCCCACACTCTGGTAACCACTAGTCTATTGTCCATGTCCATGAGTCTCTGTTTGTCCTGTTCGATTGTTGATTTTAGGATTATATCCCACATATAAGTGTAAAACTCTCACGTAAATTGTTCCCAATTATCCTGGGCCTAAAGTAGGGGCTAAGCCATAGTTTCATTATCCACAGAAGTTGGCAGGCATTGTGCTGGGCTTTTAACATAGAGTATCTCATTTAATTTGAACAGTGCTCTACAGAGGTAGGTATACTTATCTCCATTTTATAGATGTGGTAACTGGAGCCCAGGGGGTTTCAGTCACTTGCCCAAGATTAATTGCGGTAGAACCAAGATTTGAATCCAGATCTGCCTAACTCAAAGTCTGTTTTCTCCTAGGGATGCTGTAGAGAGAGTGGGTCTTTTCAAGAGTTTCCAGAGAATTCTGTGATGTTTCTGGTGAATGGTGTTTTAAAGAGTCCCTTTCTGATTGCAGCTCTGCCTTGGATAGACACTGCTGAATCTGTAAGAGATGTCACTGCCACTACCACCCCAAAGCTTCAAACAAGAGACTAAGAAATCTCAGTCTAGCAAAATTGTGTTCAATGATCATGGCCAATCTGAAAAGGTTAGAGCAAGCTGTCTCCCAACAGCATCTCGAGTAGCCTCTTCCTGTGTTGGTTCTGTTCCTATCCCCACCCCTAAATCTCTGAGAATTTGTGTGGTTTAATTTGAGAAGGAGGGAAGGGGTGGGAACTCTTACAGTTGGACACCAGCAAATTAGAACTTGGAGGAGAAAGTGTGAACTTTTCTTTCCCATAAACATATGGCTGAAATGAAAACCACCCTCCACAATCTTCAAAAGCAAAAAGTACTCAGCTCTTGTTAATGATCACATCTGTACTCGTACTTTCTCTAAGATGCTCAAAGCACCTTGCCAGGAGGCTGCTTAATGCATCCTGGGGAGAGTATGAAGATTAGGTCAACAGATGTATTATCATGCTTTTAAAGCCATTTAATTTGAAGAACGGGTCCATTTTGACTCTGCTATTTTGACCTTTTGGATAGTTTGACATAGTCATTTTGATCCTGGGATGTACTATGTTCATTCATCATCATATGTATTTTAATTAGAATTTTATTAATACTAATGAATTGTCATTAAGAGAGTATTTCCTAGAACAAACATCATTAGGTCTATTTAATTTCGTTGATTGGCTTCCTCTCAGTACATTTTCTAATCATTTTCATTTTTGTTTTACTAAAATGATTTTCATGGAGGGACCAAACGTTTTTTTTCCTATATAAATTGGCAAGAAAGACCTGATACAGTGATCAGATTTTTGTCAATATCAAATATTCTGATTAGCGTTCTGTCATTATAGGTTTTCTTTTGTGGTAGTTATTTTTCAAAATCCAACTTTCTTGGGGGCACATTCTATAAATCTAAATTTTTTTTGAGTTCAGCTTCACCTGTGAATTTTATTTGGAGCTTATTATTTCTACCAGTATTAAGTAGAAATTAGATAACAGATTGACAGTTTATTTCTTAGCTAATTTGTGAGAAAATAATATTTTAGTTTTTGTTAATTATTTCCATGAGGATTATTTATCATGAACTATGTAAAAGGCTAATAGTTTACTTATTTTTTAGCTTAATTCAAAAACAGAAATAATTCTCAGCTCTTTTAGGATTACTCTACTGTGCTAGATTGGTCTGTTGTATTATGAATCCAATTCTCTAAATTTCTGATCATTTACTGTGTCATGTACTAACTGTTCATGGTGTATATGGAGAACAGAGCAAATAAATGGTCTGACTCCAATGTTTTGCTTCACATTATAACTCTTTGATATAGATAGGGCAGGGTTTATTTTCATTTTGTAGGGGAAATCTGAGACTTAAGAGACTTTCGCCAAATAAAAACTGTTAAGGAGTAAGGGAGACCTAAAATGTGGTTTACTCTAACCTTTACTCCCATAGACGGTCTTACTTATTTGGGAGTGAGGTAAGACATGCACAGATAAACAATACCCAGAAAGAAAGTTCCCCCTCTTCCTCCAAAATATTCACCTCTCCTCCCTTCTGTCATCCCTCCTTTGAATACACTAAAATGTAGGGATTAATATGGATTACCAAACTCCTTTCTTAAAATACAAAAATTTCTCTTTGAGTTTTAAAATCATATTGGAATATATACTTTTAAAATATGATTTCTGTTCATTTGTAGTTTATACAGACTTTTAAAAAAACATGTTCTCTTATTTGATCCTCAAATAAAGTAGATTATCATTCCAATATTACTGATAAGAAAATTGAGGCTGAGGTATTAAGTGACTTGTCCAAGGTCAACAACTGGTAAGGAGCTGATCTTGGACCAATATCTAGGTATGTGTGTTATTGTCCTTATTGGGAATGTCTTAAATCAACTACTTAACATAAGATACACTTAAATATTTGTTAAATTATTGAACTGATTTACTTGAGAGCATTCATATTAAAGGAATGACTGGGAGTGGTGGGTAGCAGTTGTGGTTGTTAATCTTGGATAGGATAACCATAAGTATGAGAGAAGTAAAAGAGAACATTAGCTTCATGAAGCTATTTTGCTCATTCTAAGAGTTACACTGAAGTTCATCTTGTCTCCTGACAGCCTTGTCCCCACCATCAATGATTACCTCCTTTAGGGACTCTCTAAGCAGCACTGAGTGCTAAAATTTCCTTTTGTTGTAGTTTATTGGGGTTTATTAGATGCATCTGCAGTTACTTGGAAATTCTAGAGTTTCCCCCTGATCCCCAAAGATGACCCAAAGTCCCTGAAAAGACTGTTCACAATTGGATATACTAATTTACCTCTGTTACATTTTTAGAGAGGGGAGAATTACCAAGCAAAGATTACTCCATCTTCACCTCAGTGGCCACTCAAAAAAAGGTCAGCTCTGGAAGATCTCACCAATGTGAGTATGCTAGTCGAGTCCTCTGCTGTGGTATTGATTTAGACAACCTCTTCCTTGAAGGACCTTTCCAGTTTACCAGATTCTGACCCTCTCTGGAATATTGAGAGCTGATTTTGTTTGGAATCAATGACCCAGTTTCAGAAACTGCAGGGGCTGTTCTGCTGGCACATATCATCTATATTAGTGGAGTTCTCTAGAAGCAGCAGACAGAATGATTATCAGATATGAAATTGAAGATAAATATGAGAGCTATGGGATCTTGCATTTAGATAAAATCCAGAGGTGGGTCAGCTGGCTGCCTAGGCCTTGGAGGTAAGTACTTTGGTGGATTCATAATAGTCTAGGGCAGTGTTGATCATTTCAAGCACTATGGGCATTTTGGGCATCCCTGGCCCCAAGGCATTAAGTTCCAGTAGCATCCCAGTCATAGTGACAATCAGAAATGCCCCCTAACGTACAGAACCATTGAGCACCATAGTTCCATGATCTGGTCTTCAACTATAGAGATCCAGAAATTCAATTTTGTCTAGAATTCTTGAGTTCACTTCCTCCCTTTTGGTATTATTAAAGTACCAGCAAACACCAGAATTAATAGATAGAATGTTACTAATTGAATATAGAATTGGGCCAAAGGTAATCTTTAGTCTTAGAAAATAATAACTGTTGCCTACTGAGTGCTTTCCATCTGCTAGGCACTATTCTAAGTACTTTTTCCTGTATCAATTCAGTCCTCATATAAGCCTATGAAGTAGATACTATAATTACCTCTACAAATTAGGACTTGCCCAATGTTGGTTTTGAAGTCTGTTTTATCTAGGATACAGAGGACCCTGGTGAACTATTCCTGTCTTCCATAATCGAGTGTCCTTCTGTGGCTACCAGAATACTTGTATCTACTAGATAATATTTTATCCCCTTGGGCAAAATTAGATAAGCAAAGTTCTCTACTTTGAATCTCTGCTCTTTAGATGCTATGTGACCACCTTTGTGCTAATACGGTCTCTTCCTCATGGAGATCACAACATATTTGATTAGGTTACAGCTTTCTGCAGAATTTCAGATTTATTATAGATTGATTGAAATAGACTCCTCCCACATAGACCTGTAGGGTTAGGTTCATTTGCTGACTTATTTATCCATGGATCTAAAATAAGGTAGCCATGAAAATCAGGACCAGATGCAGCCCATCTTGATGTGGCTTCCCTTGGCTTGCAGAGTACTTGATGGAAGTGTGGTGACACTGTGCGAAGCAAGGTTTCACAGCATGTGAAAAACTTTCTTACTATATCTCAGTCCCTTTTTTCATGAAGTTTGTATGGCCATTTATAAATAACAAACACAAATAAACTAAAAGGAAGTACATGCAGATATTAAGGACCCTCCTGATTCTCCAACTGAATTCAACGTCTGCTAGGCCACATCCTCATCCAGTGTAGGGATGGGATTAGCAAGGCATTCCTCAGCAGTATCTTTGCCTCTGCATAGCTTTTTAGAATCTCAGAAAGCCCATTTTTGTTTTGCATTCCAGTTCTGAAGATTCACTTTGGTCACCATGAATGGGTTTTGGTGCTTTCCGGAGAAAGTTCCGTCATTACAGTGTACCTAAGCCATTCCTAGGATTGGGCATTTTCAGATGTCTGAGCTTATCTATTTCATGGTTTATGGCTCCTTTCTCTTTGAATTTTGGTAATTCCCTATATGATGATTTTCTTCTTCCTGTCAATAAATCTATGTCCCCATATCTGTCTTCTCCTTAACATTTACCACAGTGAGGTTCTGGCCTGCCAAAAGAGTTGATCCATTTTAATGATTTAATCTGCTTTGAGTGTTTTTATTTCCTTCTCCTTTATCATTCCAGCATGGGAAAGACTTTTGAAATATAAGAGCTGGTTGTGAGCCACTAGACAAGGAGATAAGGTCCATATTCATGTTTACCTAAGTGATTTTGTGTCAGTAGGATTTTAATCTCTATTTTCCTATTTCTTTGTGAAAGAATTATGGAGAAGTACAGATAAAAGTCCCCTTGAGCTTAGATCTGAAAATATTAGTGCTTTGAACCTTCATATATGGCAAGTACAGAGTTTCACCCTGGGGGTTTGGGTCTCCACTTCTCCCCTGCCAATAATGCACTTCTTTTCTAATTCTGAATCTCAATTGCACATATAGAGAGTTTGTAAAACTTTAGGTGAAGTTAAAATGAGAACTATGCCAAACTCTTTGAAGAACGGAGATGAGGGCTTAAGAAAGAATTCCCTATTGGATTGTAGTTGCTTATTATGATCTAATGATACAAAGGCATCACTTTTTTACATTTCATTGGGAAATAATTTCAAATTTACAAAAAGTTGCAAAAATAAAAAAGTAGTACAAAGAACACACACATACTCTTTACCTAGAGTCATCTATTGTTAACATTTTATCCCATTTGCTTATATATACGTCATTGCTCTTTACTCCTAAGTACTTCAGTGTATATTTCCTCAGAGAAATTGTCTTATGTAACCACAGTACAATTAACAACTTTATAAAATTACATTGATACGGTATTTTTATGTAATCTATCATCCATATTGCAAGTTTTTCAGTTGACCTTATAAGGTCAATGTTAAAAGCATTTTTCCCCTCCAGTAAATAATTCAGCCTAGGGTCATTTACTTGGCATGTCTCTAGCTTCTTTTGATCTGAAACATTTCCATAGCCTCTCTTTTTTTTTTTTTAAATGACATTACCCTTTTTGAAGAATACAGTCCCACCCAGCACCTCCTTTTAAAAACAGGGCATTCCTTATTTTGTGTTTGTCTGATGTTTCCCTGTGATTAGATTGATGTTATACATTCTTGGCTGGAATACTGTGTAGATGATGTTCTGTCCTTCTTAGGGTATCATATCTGGAGGCACACAATGTCCATCTATCCCTCATTGGTAATGTTAATTTTGATCACTGTTAAGATGTTGTTTCATTTCTCCACTATATAATTATTACTTTTTTCCTCTTGCAACTAATAAGCAGTCTGTGGGACATATTCTTAAGAATCTGCAAATAACCTGCTCTTCATCAAAATGTCCCCTAGATTTATCATCCAATGATGATTTTTGCCTAAACCATTCTTTATGTTGATTTTCCCAATTCTAGCACTTGCTCCCCATTTACCAATCTGATCTTGGCATTCTACTACAAGCATGAGGCTTCCCTTCTTCCCTGTTTATTTATTATTGGTATGGACTTATGAATTCCTATTTTTTTCAGTGGTTTTTTGTTCAATACTGTACTTAATTATTTTGGTTTTTAAACCATCCCAGATTTGGCCAGTAGGGTCCACTTCAATCTGACTGCTGTGACATACTCTCATAATTGTGACATATGCTCTTTGTGACATACTGTCATAATTTTTTGAGCAGTTTCTTTCTAGCTTAGCAGGATGTTCCAGATTCATATTGTACCTGTTTTATTGCAGTCCTGGAAGGGTATCAGAGACCAAGATCTCATTGCTGGGCATGCTACTGCAGTGTCTGCTTTTTATGCCCTTTCAGCAGACAGAGCTAGGAAATATCTGCATGTATACGCGGATACACACATATATATACTTAACCATACATATACATATATCTATACACAGATACACATACATATACCTATATACGTAGATGTATATATACTTATACCTACTTAAAAATCATGAGTTCACACACCTCTCATTCCAATGAACAGGATTCTTTCATGTATTTCTTGATCCACATTTGTATGTTCCTTCTTCTATAATGAGAATCCTGGTTCCCAAGGACATCAACACATTTACTCAATACAGTAATACATCTAAAAGAATTTCAGGATTACTTCGTCCATACCATCATAATAAACAAACCTACTAAAAACAGTTCCAGATTTATTTGCAATATTCTCTGCCACCCCACAAACCCATCCTGATTGAAGGTATATATGTTGAGGGCATATAGTCTAACACTGTGTTTTCTTAGGTTAGTTGTTTCTTGTCTTGTATTTTTTTTTTAGTGTGGTTATGGTATTTATTTGGAATATAATTAGGTTCAGTTTGTTTCTTTTTAAAGGTTTAACTTTTAAGTTTATTTTTACTGATATTATTCATAGTCCCATGATCTCTCCTACTGTTTAATAGAATTAGTCATGATTAGAGTTTGTGGTGGAGCTCCCCAGAGCATCATGTTAAATAAATATCCCTTCAATGAGATGGGATAGATGTATCACAGTTAGTGTTGTGTTAGAGGTCTACCCTGAAAAGCTTGCTGATCTTGGTATAACTAGACAGTAAAGCTAGTTATATGGCCTTTTTTTCCCTTTTGAAAATTTTGTGGTGTCAAAGTGGAATGTGATGTTAGCAAAACATCCTTTTGTAAGTCTGCCAGTCAGTTTGCCTGATGTGGAGATCAGAGCTATGTCCTATGTGTCTTAGAATCACTTAGGGCTGCTTTTTAACTAATATTTACCAGTCCTACTGTACCTCTAGCTTCTACTGTGATTAGTCCACACCAGCGCTATACTGGTTGTGAGATGTTTTGATTATTGTTCCTGGGAACACCCAAACAAGGTGTCCAGGGTGGGGCTATGGATCAGGACTTTCCTATAAAAGCCACCTCTGGAGTGATTTGTGCTTCTCTCCATTTCTTTGCTTCCTTCTCCCCCCTATTTTTTGCAGGCTTCTGAAAGTCAGCCTGCCCAGTTCAAGAAAGAAGCCAATAAGGAATTTGTTAAAGATGTTTCCAAGAAGATAAACAGGAACACAACTGCTCTTGGCTTGACTGAAAACAATGAGATGAATATAAAAAAGTGAGTAAGAGGGGTCACAGATGGCATTATTTTAGATAGTACAGGAGAGTGTGTGACATCATTTTGATCCCCTTTTGCCCCCATTGAGAACATGTTTAATGAGCCATGGTGGTGATTATTACATTAACCCTGGTTGCTGAGGTGGGCCCAGGTGTGGTTGTTAAAGTGTTATGGGGCATCTTCGCTCTCTCTTTCCTTGGTGCGTATGCATATTGAAAGAGCTGTTGCCATTGTACAATTTGCCAAAAGATCTTGCGCTCATCTTTTTTTATCTTTTAGTAATTCAGTCCCTGTTTGAGCTATCTGTACTTGGGAGTGTGGGGGCAACTTTTCAGAGGATTCTCAGCAGCTGGTTGATAGCTTGCCAGTCTGCATATCTATTAGAAGCTTTAGGGGAGGTTGTCTCCTGTTACTGGAGAGAGATTACTGTCTCCCTAGGCCAAAAACATGTGTTTTCCAGCTGTTACAGGGAACTGTTCATAGGTTCTGCAAGTAGATAAGAGTATTCTCATCTAAGATTGGAAAAAGGATTTATCTCTAGGAAAGCTTTTATTGGAAGAAGAATTAGAGTGGAGTGGAGCCTTTCTATATCTTCTCCTCATTCCAGTGAGAATTAGTTCTTTAGGGAAGAACAGAATAGGTTAGATAGATAGCTGTAGCAGGGGCCTAAGCATGGGTTTCTAAGGGTAAGGGAAAAACCTTGGGGAACTCCAGAAAATTAACACGCCAGGACACTTTGCTAAGTACTCAGCAGAAAGAGTTGGTGTCCTTTGAGGTACAAATGTTTTGGAGTTTGAAGAATCCAATGTATTTTTTCTTTTGCTGCTTATGCTTTTGGTGTCATATCTAAGAAAGCATTGCCAAATCCAAGGTTACCAAGATTTACTTTTAAGATTTTTCTTTTCAGAGTTTTAAAGTCTTAGTTCTTAACTTAGATTTTTGAGTTAATTTTTGTTGGTGGTGCATGTTAGGTGTCTAACTTTATTGTTTGCATATAGATATCCAGTTGTCCCAGCACCATTTCTTAGAAAGACTAATCTTTCTCCACTTAATTATTTTGGCACCCTTGTTGAAAAATCAGTTGACCATGAATATAAGTGTTTATTCTGAACTCTCAATTTTATTCCATTTGATCTACATATCTATCATTATGCCAGTACTGCGACTATCTTGATTATTGTTGCTCCGTAGAGCATTTTGAAATTGGGAAGTATGACTCTTCCAACTTCGTTCCTTTTTTTCAATATTGTTTTGGCTATCCTGGGTTCCTTGCAATTACATATAAATTTTAGAATCAGCTTGACCATTTATAATAAGCTAGCTGGCACTTCCTTTTTAAAAAATATTTCATTGGTTGTTTTTATTATATTCATAGAGTTGTACAGCCATCACCACTATCTAATTTTAGGACTTTTCCAACATCGTCCAAAGAAACTTGTACCCATTAGCAGCCCCTTCCCTTTCCCAGTCTCCCTTTCTACTTTTCCCTTCCCAGATCCCGCCCCTTTCCAGCCCCAGGCAACCATCAATCTACTTTCAGTTATGGCTTTATCTCTATGGATATGTCTATTCTGAATGTTTTGGATAAATGAAATCATGATATCTAGTCTTTTGGAGGCACTTACTCTTATTCAGACTGATGACTGTATTTGCCTTCAATTCTCTCTCTTCCTATTCTGATTTCTAGTCATCCAGTGATTTGGTCACACTAGGTTAGTCACTCTGATTGGACATGAAATCCTATTCAGAACAAAGCTTTGCATCTGACACACGTGAACAAATGTTTATTTTGGTGTTTTTATTATGCCCACTGGGAAAATATCTTGTGAAATAGCCTAGGATAAAAGAAATATGGTTAGATACCACCAATGTTAAGTACCAGTCCACCTTTCTCTTATAAGCCTTCATAAGCCTCTTATATGCGCCACTCTTATAATCATCTCCCATAAGCCTTCAAACAATATTAATTTCAACCTGCATTTTACCAGCTGCCTGGTGCCGATAGACAAGGACAAATGAATGTAGCTAGTGAAGGAGACTGATATATAAGTAGATAACTCATGTAATGGTATTATAATGAAAGCTTTTATATATAAATAAATATAATAAATCATATATGAGAAAGTATAACATTGATTTCAGGGGAAATTTTTTAGGAAAGTGTAGGGACCTAGGCCATAGAAACTATACACTGTGCTACTTAGTTGACTCACTAGGTACCCATTGATTTTTACCTTCTAATCTGTCTTTTAGAATTGAAGTCCTTTCCACTTCCATACCTTTAGTAAATATAGCAACAAAATGAGGTGGTAGGTGAGGATTCTAGGAACTACATTTTTTTTTAACCCAGACATTGTTTCCTTTATAGGTATAAACTGGAACCCTTACCAGTAGCAATCTCTACCACCATGATATCAAACATTGTGGATAAACTCATTCTGGAGAACTCTACCACCTCCCAAACACTCACTACTGAGGAGGCATCTCTTTTCAAAAAGCCATTAGTTTTAAAAGAGCAACCCACTAATAGGGACATAATCCTCATCAAGAGGTCATTATCATTAAAGAAGCACACAAATCAGGGAGAGATGGCCCTATTGGAGAAGCCACTATCCTTACAGGAGGAGACTGACAGTGGTGATAAGTTTGTTGTAGAGCCAATGACTTTTGTGAAAAAGCATAAAACCGAAGAGGCAGCCATCACTGAGAGGGCATTTTCCTTAAACAAGATGTGTGCATATCAGGGGAAGCAGTCCTTCTGCGGGGAGGAGTTGGCCTTGCAGGACATTAATGTTGAAGAGGATTCCTTCTTTATGGAGCCCATGAATTTTACAAATAAGCCTAAAACTGAGGAGGCAACCTCCACCAAGAGGCTATTAACTTTAAAGAAGAAGTGTACCACTCAGGGGGAGATGTCCCATAAGAAGCCACTAGTATTGCAGAAGACCACTTCTGGAAAGAAGTCACTCATTAAGGAACTACTGTCCTTTAAAGAGAAGCCTAGCACTGAGGAGTCCCTTTTCCAAGAGCCATCTCCGTTGCAAGAAAAGCATACCACTCAGGGGAAGGTATCCATCTTGAAGAAGCCCTTGGCCTTGCAAAAGACTCCAACTGAGAAGGAGTCACTTTTAATGGACCCTTTGGTTTTTAAGAAGAGTACCATTGAGCAGGCAACTGACACCAAGAAGCTAGTATCTTTAAAGAAGAAATGTACTACTCAAAGTAAGATGTCCTGCTTGAAGAAGCCATTAGTATTACAGACCATTTCTGAAGAGAAGGCACTCATTAAGAAAATATTGCCCTTTAAAAAGGAGCTTACCACTGAGGAGGAATCCCTCTTCAAGGAATCATCTGTGTTGCAAGAGAAGCACACCACTCAGAGGGAGGTGGCCTTCTTGAAGAAGTCATGGGCATTGCAAGAGAATAGTCACAGTAAAGATGAATTTTTTATGGAGCCATTTTCCTTTAGGAAGAAACATACCACAAATGAGGCAGTCTCTACCAAGGAGCCATTATCTTTAAAGAAAAAGTACGCCATTCAAATGATGATGCCCATCTGCCGAGAACTGGTAGACTTGCAGAATATGATTGGCAAGAATAAAGATTCCTTTTCAACGGAGCTGGTGTCATTTAGGGAGAAGTCTTTAACTGGGGAGGCAGTCCATGCTAAGACATCATTATCTTTAAAGAAGAAGCAAATCACTCAGGGGAAGATGTTAGTCTTAAAGAGGACTACCTCTGAAGATGAGTCACTCTTTAAGAAGCTGTTGCCCTTTGAGCAAAAGCCTACAACTGATGAGGAGTTCCTCTTCCAGGATCCATCTGTATTGAAAAGGAAGCACACCACTCGGCAGGAGTTATCCCTCGCAAAGAAATCATTAGCCTTTCAGGAAAAGACCACCATTGATGAGGAATCATATGTTAAGGAACAAATGGAGGAGAAGCCTACCACTGAGGGGGGATTCCTCTTTCAGGAGCCATTTTCATTGCATGTTAAACCTACCAACAAAGATGAGTTGCTTTTCTGGAAGTCCTTGAACTTGCAGAATGAGATTAATACTAAAGAGAAGTCCTTGAAGAAGCTGTTGACTTTGCAAGAGAAAAGCACCACTGAAGAGGAATCTCTTTTCAAGAAACCATTGGTTCTGAAGAAGAAACTCTCCACTGAGGCAACAACAAGCATAGAGAGCCAATCATCTTTAAAGAAGAAGCCTACTGTTCAAGGAGAGGTATTCTTCTTTAATGAGCAGTTGGCTTTGCAAAAAAACACCACCGATGAGAAGGAGTCCCTTATTAAGCAGCCACTGACCTTGCAGGAGAATCCCAACAGTGAGAAAGAGGCTCTCTTCAAGGAGCCATTAGCCTTTCAGGGGCAGTTTACCATCAGTGAGGCATTCCATTTCAAGGAGATATTCTCCCTGAATGAGAAACCAACCACTGGGCAGGAGTTGTCCCATGAGAAGCCGTTGGCCTTGCAAGAGGTCCTCACCCACAAGGAAGACACTTTTCTTAAAGATTTCTCGATCCTACAAGTTGAGAACAGCCCACATATGTTCAACACTACCACTGAATCCAGAACAGGCATGTCCAGCACTGCTACCATGTCCAGTGTGAGCAAGTTTAGTACCACAAGCAAGTCCAATGCTTGTGAGTTCATTTCCAATAGACCTTTCTCATCTTGGGACAAAAGATCACAGAATGAGGTATTCTACTCTTCTTAAATTAGATGAAGTGTTTTTTTGTTTTCCTGGATGTGGCTGCTAGCAAAGAGATTATTTTTCCCCAAACCAATTGAGTTGTATATAATAATTATAGTAAATCAAGTGGCCTTGTAGAATCTCTTGACTTCCTGAGTTGTATAGTGATTCACCCAAGCAATTAGAAAGTATTATTTCAGGAATACCCACAAGGGTTTGGAATACTGTGTGTGTGTGTATGTATGTATTTGGGCTTTGTAGTAGTGTTTACTTCTTTCAGGAAATTGCCTTTCTTAGTAATTGCAATCTGCATTACAGTGGGCTTCGGTCAAAGCTGGATAAAATTCACAGAGGCCTCTCCCAAGGAAGATGGTCTTCAAGTTGTAAATTGAAAGGATGAAGGGAAACAGGAAGAGAAATACCACTCTTGTAGACAAAACAACCTGGGTAAAAGTGTAGAAGGAAGGAAAAGGCTACCAAGAAGATGAATTCAGTTGGGCCAGATCAAAGCAATGGGATAAAATAAGGAACCTAAGAAGACAGGTGACACAAACTGAAACAGTAAAATAATAGTGTCTTTGTTGGAGAGTCTTGTGCTTTCCTGTAAAAATGGTGCCTGATTCCTAGGGCAGAGCAGGCATGTACAAGGAAGACTAAGCATTTCTTGGTCACTTAGCAGTATGATTGCAGAGCTTGGGGGTGCTCTATTATGACCAAGGATATATGAGGCTTGAGGAAACTTGGCAGATGACAGTGGGAGGAAAGGAATTATCCTTTATGTGTATGTACTAAGCCTTCTTTGGAATGTTTCTCTTCCTAATATATTCTTCTGGTGATTTCCAAGCAGATAACCCCACTGGAATGGATTGACAACAACCACAGTAATCCACTTTTCAACTCAACATATGCCAAGGATATCTTCAGTTACATGAAGGAGAGAGAGGTGAGTAGGTGACTGGGAGCGGGCAGTGATTTCTAGTTCTCATTTTCTTATCACTTCATCCTTCAAATGCAAGTTGAAAGGGGAGAAACAACTGACATCTGCTGGTAGCTTACTGTGAGTTAAACATTATACTAAGGGATTTATAGACATTATCTTGTTTAAGTCTCCCAATAATCTCATGATAGCAGGTATTATTATCTCCTTTTTATGGATGGGGAAAACTGCTCAGAGTCATACAACTAGTATGTGGTAGAGCTGGGATATGGACTAAAGTCTGATTATCTAGAAGACCATAAGCCTGTGCCTCTAATTGCTGAGGAGACAGTTTCAGACACAAAAATGGTCAAGTAGTCTCTGACTGGTTGCTCTGAAAGATGTTTTCCCTTTTTATGCAAGTTTTTGGCATCCTATGTAAAATCACATCATTTGTTTTAGCTCTCCACCCTGGTGAAATTTCCTTCCTCCTTTGAAATCTGCCAATCTCCTTTACTACTAATATTCATCGATTCCAAGTTTTTTTTTCCATTTCTTTCAACAGAGCAGATGGGACCAAGATTATCCGCCAATTAGAATTTTAGCAGGCCATGCATAAGAGGGAGGATGAATATCTCGTATTTCTCTGGAGACATTTGATTAACTGATTCCAGAGCCCACATTTTTTCTAATATACTTTAGAGGAAGTAAGAGAAAACTTTGCTATTACCAAAGGTGTGGGCCTTAGCTCAGCAGTATAGGTTTCACTTGGGTTTTTGTTAGGAATGCAGAAACCTAGCCCCACCCCAGTCCGTCTAAATTAGAATGTGAATTTTAAAGATCCTCAAGTGGTACATATGCATGCTAAAGTTTGAGAAGCACTGCTCTACATTGCATGGTATCGTGCTTTAGGTTGAATTGCCAAAAAGGGGCAGGACCTCTTTGGTATTCATCTATAGTTATAGGTGTGTTCTTATCGGTATTCTTCCTGGCTTCTCAGTATCCACCCTGACACTTGAATATCATGTGTGTTTCCCAAGGATAACTGAAACTTGGCTGGAAAAGGATATTTTATTCTGCCCCTATCAGATAACAGCTGAAAAAAAATTAGAACCATGAAGAATTATGTTGTTATGATTTATTTCTGATATATTAGATGCAAATATTTTTTTCTAAGTTACAATTTTGGAACTACAAGAAGAGTTAATTTATTAACATTTCTTTCTTATTTCCACCAGGAACATTTCATACTTGAAAAATACATGAACAGGCAGACTGATATCAGCAGTGACATGAGGGTCATTCTTGTGGACTGGTTGGTGGAGGTGCAGGTAAATCTGACAACTGCTATTCTCTTTATCAATTATTCATTCAGCATCACCAGGTGCTAAACATGGTAAAATTTACTGGGTCTGCAGAGCTGAATAAGCCATGGATCCTGCCCTCAGGGAACTTAAGATCCAGGGGCGAGATAAGACATGTAGACAGATAAGTATAATACAAAGTAGAATACACTAAGTACTACAAGAATGTTATAAATAAGATACTGTAAGAACCCAGTGGAAGGAGAGATTATTTCTAGAAAAGGCAATGATGGTATGGTAGTTTAATCATTAAAAAAATCTTATAAAAGTATATTTAGTGATTTGGATAAAGGTCAGTGACAGTCTTTAAAGGTTGGGTGGGATGGGTAATAGAAAGGACAGTGTAGCACCAAACATGGCAGCTGTTCATCCAGGGTTAAATTTTGAGGGAATAGTGCTATGAATATTTAATTATCACTTTACACTAAGGAAGGATAGTCCAGAATAGTACCTGGCACATAGTAGGGTGTCAATAAGTATTTGTTGAATGAATGAAATTGAATGAATTGCTATGGAATTTGCACAGGAATATAAGGCATAGTGTTACTATGCAATTGGGGAGAAAAGATAATTTAGTTTAATATCGTTTAAGTGGTTCAGGCTCACTTTGGAATGACAGATCAAGTAAATGTGGTAGATTTGGACATCAACAAAACATGAAAATGTCTCTTATCTTATGGAAATGATAAAGAATAGTAAATTAGATAAGAGTAGTATTTGAGGAACTCTTAAATAAAATTGATACCAAAGATTATTGATCAATACCAAGCTAGAAGGAGATTTCTAGTGGACTGCCAGTGGACTCTGTTCTGATCAACAGTTTTATTAGTGATGTAGATGAAAACAGAGAATGTCTACTCATGAAATTCATGGGTAATTGGAATTGGGAGTAGAGATAGGGAATAAATGGCTAACAGAGATAAAGTGTCTCTACCAGCTGGAATGATAAACTGAATCCTTTTTTTTTAAATAAAGCTTTTGTTTTTATTGCACAAAAATTCACGTTTATTATAGCAAGTAAGAAATTATGATTACCTATGATCCCACAACCACTGTTAATGTGTGTGTATATTACCCCCCGCCACACACACACATTTAAACTGGTGGTTATCCACTAGAGATACACGTCTAGTGCACAGATCACAGAATCACAGATGCCCAAGTCAAATTCTAGACTTATCAAATCAGAATTGTGGGAGTGCGGCCGAGGCACACATATATTTATAAAGCTCTGCAGGTGAGTTTTATGAAAGGTATGCTGATGTATACCTTTTGATAGAGAATCATAATTGACTATTTTGGTATACAGTTCTATGAAATTTTAACATTCGTTGTGAAATAATGAATTTACAAGAAGTGGCAAAAATAGTATAGAGGTACTGTGTATCCATTACCTAGTTTCTCCCAATGATAACATTTTGTATAAATGTAATATAGTGTCATAATCAAGGTCCACAGACCTTATTTAAATTTCATCAGTTTTATATGTACTTATTTGAGTGTGTGTCTGTGTGTATTTAATCTATATAATTTTGTCACACATGTACATTTTGTCAGCACTACCATCACCATGACAGTTAAGATACAGAACTGTTTCATCACTACAAGGATCTCTCACGTTACCCTTTTATAACCATAGCTATCTCCCTCCCCTCACCTTCCTGTCCCTGGAAATTCCTAATTTGTTCTCCAACTCTACAATTTTGTAATTTCATGAATGTTATATAAATGGAATTATACAGTATGTAATCTTTTTTAAATTTAAATTTTATTTTTTTATTTTTCAGTTACAGTTGACATTAAATATTATTTTATATTAGTTTCAGTTGTACAGCATAATGATTAGACATTTATATAATTTATGAAGTGATCCCCCTAATTAGTCTAGTAGCCACCTGGCACTATGTATAGTTATTACAGTATTATTGACTATATTCCCTATGCTGTATTTCACATCCCCGTGACTCTTTTGTAACTACCAATTTTCACTCCAAATCCCTTCTCCCTTTCACCCAACCCTGCAACACCCCTCCCATGGGGCTTTTATCACTCACTATAATTCCCTTATGATTCATCCAAGTTGTTGTGCGTATCAATGGTTTTTTTTCCTTTTGATTGCTGAGTAATATTCCATAGTATGGGTACACCATGGTTTGTTTAACCATTCACCCATTGGAGGACATTTGGGTTGTTTCCAGTTTTTGAGACTCTGAAAATAATTGCTATAAACATTCATGTAATGGTTTTTTTGTGAACATAAGTTTTTATTTCCAACATCGATGCCCAGGAGTGGGATTGCTGGGTCATATGATAAACATATGTTTAACTTAATGAGAAACTGTCATAGAGTGACTGTACCGTCTTACATTCTCACCTGAGAGTTCTAGTTGCTCTGCATCCTTGCTGGAACCTGGTATTATTAGTGTTGTTTTTTTTTTTTTTTTTTTTTTTTAAATTTTAGCCATCTAATAAGAGGAATCTCACCATAGTTCTAATTTACATTTCCTCAAAGTCTAATAATGAATATCATCTCTGTTATCCATATATCCTCTTTGGTGAAATGTCTGTCTTTTGCCCAATTTTAAATTGGGTAGTTTATTTTTTTTATGTCAAGTTATGAGAGTTCTTTATATATTCTGGATACAGATTCTTTGTTGGGTATGTGATTTACAAATATATCCTACCAGTCTGTAACGTTTTTATTCTCTTACCTATGTCTTTCACAGAGGAAAAGTTTTTAATTTTGATAAAGTCCAGTTTTTCAGTGTTTCTTTATGGATTGTGCTATTAATGTCATGTCTAGGAATACTTGCCTAAAATTAGGTCATGAATATTTTCTCCTATATTTTATCTAAAAGTTTTATAGTTTTAACGTTATAATTCATTTTGAGTTTTGTATAGGGTGTGAAGATTTTAAGGTTAAAGTTCATTTTTTATTTTTTTGTGTATGGATGTCCAATTGTTCTAACACCATTTGGGAAAAATATACTTTCTCCACTAAATTTCTTTTGCGTCTTTGCCCAGAAATCAATTGGCCTTATTTCTATACTTATTTTTATACTCTATTTCACTGACCTCTGTGCCTATCCTTTTGCCAATATCATACTGTCTCATTTCTGTAGCTTTATAGTGTCTTAAAATTCAGTGGCATGATTCTTTCAACTTTTTGTTTTCAAGATTAGTTTAGGTAGTCTAATTATTTTGCCTTTGTATATAAATTTTTGAATCAGTTTGTATATATATAAGAAAACAACCTGCTGAGAGTTTGATTGGAATTGAGTTACATTTTGTGCAGAAAAGAGTTAACATAATGGGCCTAATAGTGCTCTCTTTAGAAAGATCTGTTTGCAAAGTTGGGCCTTGGCTGGTATGTGGGAACTTGACTGATAAACAGTTCTTTACACTACTATAAAACCCTCCCTTAATGATAACTGTGCCTAAACTCTTTGTGCAAACAATATATTTTATTCTGAACACCTGCTTTCCTTCTGGGAGCCTGAAATTTTGGTACATACTAAGCAGAGAACGTTTTCATGTCCAGCTCAATAAAATCTCAGGCACCAAGTCATTAATGAGCTCCCTTGGTAGAAAATACACACATTGTCACTTCTCATTGCTGGGGGAATTAAGTGCATTCTGAGTGACTCTACTGGGACAGGATTCTTGGAAGCTTGCTTCTGGTTTTCACCAAACTTTGCCCATGCTTCTTTTCCCTTTGCTGATTTTGCTTTGTATATTTTGCTATAATAAATCATAGCCATGCATATGACTATATGCTGGGTCCTGTGAGTCCTCCTAAGAATGTGGTCTTGGAACCCCCAACACATATCTATAGGTGGAGTTATATAGAACTGACATATTTTCTATGTTGAGTCTTCCAACCTATGAACATTATGTTTTTCATTTATTTAGGTTTATTTTTATTTTTTCATCATGCAGATCCTGTACATGTTTTGTTGAAGTTATAGCAGAAAATTTTATTTTCATGGAGCTATTGTAAATGGTATTTTTTAAGATTTAGATCTCCATTTTTACATTGCCAGTATGAAATATTGATATTTGTGTTTTGACCTTGTCTATGACCTTGCTAAAATTCACTTATTAATTCTTAGGTTTTTTTGTAGATTTCTTGTTATCTACATAGACAGTTATGTCATTTGTAAATGGAGATGGTTTTATTTCTTCCTTCCAATCTGCATGCTTTTAATTTCATTTGCATGTGTTGTTGCACTGTGTAGAACTTCCATTATTATGTTGAATAGGAGCAGTAAGAGAGCACAACCTTGCCCTATTCCTAATCTTAGGAAGAAAACAGTTAGTCTTTCACCATTAGTATGATCTTAGCTGTAGATTTTTTATAGACACCCTTGATCAGGTCAAGAAAGTTACTTTCTATTCCTAGTTTGCTGATATATATTTATCATGAATGAATGTTGAATTTTGTCAAGTGCTTTTTTCCTGCTCTATTGATATGATTTTTTTTTGCTTTAGACTGTTAATATGGTGGGTTACATAGACTGGTTTTCAAATATTGAAGCAGCTTCATATTCTTAGTGTAAATACCACTTGGCCTTCGTATATTATTCTTTTTATATATTTCTGGATTTTATTTGCTAATATTTTGTTGAGGATTTTTGCATTTATATTTCTGATGGATGTTGGTCTGTACTTTTATTTCATATTGCCTTTGTCTGGTTTTGGTATGAGAATGATACTGGCTTCATAAAATATTTTGGAAAGTATTCCTCCTGTTTCTTGGAAGAGATGTGTAGAATTGATATTATTTATTCTGTAAATGTTTGGTAGAATTCGCAAGTTAAAACATCTGGGTCTGAAGTTTTTTCCTTTTCCCCAAAGAATTTTAACTAAAAATGTAATTTAGTAGTTATAAGATTATTCAAGTTATCTATTTCATTTTAGATACTTTTGGTAGTTTGTGGTTTTCAAAGAATTGGTCTGTTTCATCT